CGTTTTTCTTGCCTAAATGTAGAACATTACTCTTAGACATGATAGCAGTCTTCCAATATCTCAAGGGTTGCCCCAAAGAAGAGGGAGTCAGGCTATTTTCCAAAGCACCTGAGGGCAGAACAAGAAGCAATGGGTGGAAACTAATCAAGGAGAGAAGCAACTTAGATCTAAGGAGAAATTTCCTGACAGTTAGAACAATCAATCAGTGGAACAACTTGCCTCCAGAAGTTATAAATGCTCCAACATTGGAAGTTTCAAGATGTTGGATAACCATTTGTCTGAAGTGGTATAGGGTTTCCTGCCTAGGCAGGGGGTTGGACTAGAAGATCTCCAAGGTCCCTTCCAACTCTGCTATTCTAAATTCTAAATAGATTTTTCTCCAGATTTTTCATCTTCCCTTTGCAGTTGGGACACTACCTGGAGCAGAACAAGGCCAACCTGAAGGTGCAGACCCTTATCCTGTATACCTTGCAGATTTGCAAAGCCATGGCTTACCTGGAGGCTATCAACTGTGTGCACAGGTACAAGGTTTTTTTTTATTTTAATGTAAAATAATAAATGGCATGTAAAGATACATACATACTCAGACAGAGTTTTCTCTGCGCTATAATGTAGCTTCTAAGCCAGAATGGGCAACTTTTTACCATTGTCTTTCTGTGGTGCCTAAAGATTAGTGAGGAAGGAACTGCAATTCTGGAATTCTTTTTGAAGAGGGAAATTCAGTGGCAGAAGTGGAGGCATAAACCACGCAGTCTTAAGGGACCCATTTCACTTTTTAAATCCCCCCTCCCCAAACTGGGAAAAAATAGTGCCATTACTTGGTTTCATCAGATGTTCTAAAGCAGTGGTCTCCAACCTTGGCAACTTTAAGACCTGTGGACTTCAACTCCCAGAGTTCAACTCCAAGTCTTAAAGTTGCCAAGGTTGGAGACCACTGTTCTAAAGGAGTCAGTGAATAACTTAACTTCTTAGAAGGTTTAAGAAACCTGGTTTGTCACCTTTATCTTATTCCAGACTCTTAAAACACAAAAAAGTTATCAAAAACTCTGTCTTACCTATTCTATGAGGACTATGAGTGCTGCAAATAGGGTGCTGGAGTTTCATGTAGCTCACAAGCCATAGGTTGCCCATCATTGCTCTTTACAATCATCAAAAATAGATTCTCAGCCCTTGTAGAATGCACAAGGACATGGCAGTTGGCTTTTTGGTGTTGAAAATGTTTGAGGAACATATGGAATGACTGAGAATTGGCCTTTGGAGGAAGGGATGCTCCTTAATTGTTCTCCATTAGAATTGGAATGGAATGCTATGTGCCAGATGGAGCAGAAGCATATTGCAAATAGAGCTAGAATATCACACATTGCAGTATATTCTGACCTTTTACAAAAGAGCTTCAAGTTAACCTCATGTGGCATCACCAGTAAATGATGAAAATTGAGGTTCTCAGGCAATTCAGTGTCATTTTAAAAGCCTAATAAATTAGCATTATAGCCAAGTCAATGCTGAAAGGCATCCAATCCAATCTTTTCAAAATGTTTGTTTTGTAAGAACCAGGAGTAAATTAGACATAATATTTGAAGAACGTGCAAGCAAATGCACAAAAGTGATCTTCAAAATTAATAAGGAGTAGTGAATCCTTATTATGAATTATGAATCTTGCATTCATAAGAATCAGTTAATCTAAGTAAGTAGGAGAACTTCCTTAGTCTTCTCTGTTGAGAGAAGTCATAGGATCATGTTCAATAGTTGGTAGGATACTTTTGGGACATGTTTTAAGGTCAGTGTGGGACCTCATGATCCCTATAGTAGTTGCCTTGGTGGTGCAGTGGTTAGAGTGCAGTACTGCAGGCTACTTCTGCTGACTGCAATTTGGCAGTTCAAATCTCATCAGGCTCAAGGTTGACTCAGCCTTCCATCCTTCTGAGCTCAGTAAAATGAGGANGCTCACAACAAAGTAAAAACATTTAAAATATTAAAAATACAATGTTAAAAATTAATACAACATCCATGTTTGTTTTTATTTTTTTCTGTGAAAGAAAAGCTAAGTTAGAGAACACAGTGAAATCCACTGGGAGCATTCCATGTTATATCTTTATGAACAAGATCATGGGATATCTTTGTGGGAAAGGTTATATATACTGAAGTAACAGATCATGTTTTATTCCAGATTCTGACATTTATGCTGAGATTCCGGATGAAGCATCCAGACCCATATCTGGAGGTTTGTTCAGACCTTGGTCCCCTTTTCTAAAATTATGTAGTGTTAGGGCTTCTCCAACTGTACTTTTAGACTGGATTGACATATAGAAGGGATTAGATAGCTGAATTATTATGTGGAAATGGTACCAGAAGTGGTGTTCTACTAGTTTGTCCCAGTTTGGGCGAACCGGTAGTGGAGGTGGCAGTGGTGGGAGGCTCCGCCCATCCACCCAGATGTCATCACGGACGTTCTGTGCATGCGCAGAAGTGCCGCACTCGAGCGAAGCGATCACACAGAAACGCTTCCGGTTCCGAACCAGTAGCAAAAATAAGAGGATTTCATGCCTGAATGGTACCCAGAATAATGTGATGTACCAATGTAAAAGAAAGGTGTTTTTTTTTAACAAAATAGGTGCTTCAAAGAATTAATAATAAGTTTTAGAATTTAAACCTGAGCATTTAAACACACTAACCCCATTATCCCATGACTGATTTCTAAAATATGCTTAATGGAATCATGGTAGTCATGTTATGTGAATAAAAGCCAAACAGCAGTAATTCAATTTAATTAAACATTTCAGAAATTACCCTTCCTAAGTCAGCCATGTTGTGTAATTCCAGAAGAGAATCACACTTTGCCTCTGGCTACCATTAATGGAAATAAAAGCTTAGAACAGCCTTACAAAAAATAAAGTATAACCAACACACATTGGTGTCCCAAGTCCTAACTACTTGCATAGACTAATTGAACCAGAGTTATCAGTGACTGATGAAGTGAGAAATCTTGGAGTAATGAATGTGTACACACTGTGCATCTGCTGTTTTTTTAAAAAGGCAGAATATGGGGGATAAAAAGAAATTGTACTGAAAATAGAGATGCCAATAGTGTAATGCTTTTATATAAGTCAGTGGTATGAATGCATCTGGTATGTATTGATTGCCATACCTCAAAAAGGTATGATTGCCATACCTCAAAAAGGATACAGTGAAGCTAGAGACAGTTCACAAAAGGACAACCAAGATGATCAAGAGGTTAGAGCAATTCCCCTATAAGGAATGGTTGAGACATTTGGAGATTTTTAGTCCAGAAAGTGGGCAAATGAGAGTGGATTTATTTCAAGTAAATGAAATCATGCATGGACAAGAAGAAACCATTTCCTCTTCTCAAAATGCTAGATGTTCCCAAAATGTTACTCGGTGAAATTGAGTCCTGGAAGAACATGTAAAAGGAAATATTTTATTACACAACATATAATTCAACTTTGAATATTTTACCACAAGATACAATGCTGACTACCAATTTAGCTGGTTTCAAAAGAAGGTTGGACCAATTCATGGAGGTTATGGGGATCAATGACTAGTACTCTTGATGGGAATGTGTCTGTCTCAGAAGGTCATCTGTTGGGAGGTAGTTGATTGACCATTATGAAAACAGACTGCTGGATTGGATGGACCAGATTCAATCCAACAACGCCTTGTTTACATAGATATGCGCACTAAACAGCCCTTTTCTATTTCATGATTTCGTTTAAGTCCTCTGTTGACATACAAGGAGGCTTAGTGTAGCCCAACCTCCTCCTATGCTCACTCCCCCACCCCAGGTAGCGGCTGCAACGCTAATCAAATCATGGCAGACTTTTCCTTATTATTAAGCGGAGCGGAGGGGAGGTGGACTGGTTCCTTGTCAAGGTAAATGCACTTCATTGAATGGGGATTAATCTGCAGGCTTTTCATCCTCTCTTAAATCACTCTGTATGTAGTTTTCTGCAGGTGGCAGCCATTTGAATTAAAGTGACTCATGCAGATGCAGCCATTTTCTGCATTCACATAATGCGCTTAAACAGCAGCTGCCTTTCCACAATATATTTAATATCAGGTTGCAAAAATTACAAAAGACGCATTGTGATTCTCCCCAGCAGATTTCTTTATTGATCCTCACCTACAGACATAATCTTGCCATAGTAAAACAGACTCTCATCCCATGTAATGGTTTTCTCTTAACTTCACTACTGATTCAGAACTGGGAGCGTGCGTGGGGCACTTCGCATGTGCAGAGCATCCGTGATGACATCTGGGTGGGTGGGCGGAGCCTGCCACTGCCGCTACCGGTTCACCTGAACCGGGGCAAACTGGCAGAATACCACCTCTGCCTCACCCCCATAATGCATTTACTATTAGAAAGAAGCCATCTTCAACCTCTTTCTCTCCCACAAACTATCTGAACTGAGTTGGTTCTTGCTTCTCTGGAATCTTTTCCTTTCCTCCTGGGAACCCCGACTACCTTCCATCACATCAATTTTGATTAATTTTCCTAATTTGAAAGTTGGCAAAAGATTCATAGTGGTAGATTTGAGTCCAATCCTGGGTGGAGGGGAGGTGGAAGTCTTTTTACATGATGAATTCTATATCTTTGTGGTAAATATTGTTTCTTAATATCAGTTGGGGGGGGGGAGCCACACTTCTAAAAGCAACCATGAAAAATTGTAGCCAATGCTACATTCCCAAATTGCTGCTGAGCTCCTGAACTTGTTGAAGACCACTCTTTATGGACAGATGAGACATGAATGTATTTTCGTTACTGCAATCTCTGCAGAATGTTACTCTCCTCCTGCCTGTAAGTTATAGTTGGATCAAAACATGGCCAGCCTGAAAAATTATGGTGTGTTGTTGAGGAGTTACACGTTGTTGTTGTTGTTCACAACTGACAAGTCGATATGTCTTGCCATTCTATTCCTTGCACAGCCCAACAGTTTGTGATTTCTCGAGAAGATGTTTCCCTGGGCAGGATCCTGGGAGAAGGTTTCTTTGGAGAAGTCTATGAAGGTGTCTTCCTCAATGAGGTGAGTCTGGATCAGTAGGACTTTATCCTAGTCTTCCCTAACCAGATAAGCATCAAATGTGCTGGGCTGCAATTCCATTATGCGCCAGGGTCCAGCTGGCTTTATGACAATTCTAGCGCAACTTTTGTGAAGAGCAGTTTACTCAACTGCCTTTGGTCTGTAGACTAGAATGGAGCGGTGTAGCATGAATCATAAATGGCCCAAGAAGAAGTATGAGAGATCACTTGCCAAAGAAGAGAGTACATTCAACTTCTTAATGAAAAACAATCAAGGGAAATGTGTCATCAATGCTTGTTGATAGAGAAACATTTAGACAGACAGACATTTATATGCCTATTTTGTTATTTGAACATTAGAAAGACCTTAAGACTGAGAGAAACCTATCCCTGGTGCCAAACTACATGGAAAACATGCACATTGTTTAGTTGTGGTGTAGGACCATTAAAATTTGAAAGTAGGTGGGAATATTCTGCTTGTTGGTTTCTTTTGGTTTTTGGATTATTGGTCTGACCCCAGAGCTATTTCTACGGTTTTAAAAAGCCAATAGAGGCACTAGTTCCTATGGAAAAGATTGACATACCTGAACTCCAGCTATTTGTGATTTGTCCAAAAGAGCTGAAGTTAAGCAGACCTCCTGCTGCTGCTGCTGCTGCTGTTGCTCTTATTCTTCTTCCTCTTCTTCATCTTCCTTCTCTTCCTTTTCCTCCCCTTCTTCTTCCTCTTCTTCCTTTTCCTCCGCCTCTGCCTCCGCCCCTCCTCCTCCTTCTTCTTCCTCCTCCTCCTCTTCCTCCTCCTCCTTCTCCTCCTCTTCCTCCTCCCCCTCTTCTTCTTCCTCTTCTTCTTCTTCCTCCTCTTCCTCTTCTTCCTCTTCCTCCTCCTCCACCTCCTCCGCCTCCTCCCCTTCTTCTTCTTCTTCTTCTTCTTCTTCTTCTTCTTCTTCTTCTTCTTCTTCTTCTTCTTCTTCTTCTTCT